GAGTGTTCAATGGGGTGTTGAGTAAGATAGTTAATGGGATATTTGATGGAATATTCCATGGGATGTTAGATGGGGTATTTGACTGAGCAGTTAATAAGGTAGTTGGAGTGTTAAATGAGATATTCTGTGGAGTATTAGATGGGATATTGAATGGGGTATTCAATGGGATAGTTAATAAAGTAGTTAATGGAATAATTAATAGGATGTTGGATGGCATATATGATGGAACAGTTAACGGGGTGGTTAATGGAGTATTTTACAGAATAGTTGATGGAGTATTAGGTGGGATATTGGATGAGCTATTCAATGGGATAGTTAATAGAGTAGTTAATGGGGTGTTCAGTGGGGTAGTTAGAGGGGCAGTTAATGGGGTATTGGACAGAGTGGTTGATGGAGCAGTTAGTGGGACATTAGATGGGCTATTCAGTGGGGCATTGGAAGGGGCATTCCCGGAGGCAGTGCCATACTCACGGGCGTGGGCAGCACGGTGCCCAGCAGGCAGAGGCAGAGGCAGAAGAGGGCTGCGTGCATCCTGGCTGGCTCCTGGGGGCATAGCATGACCCGCTGTGAGGTGCAGCCCTGTGCTGCAGACTGGGGGGAGGGGGGAGGGAGGTTACCTGTGCTGCTTGGAGCCCAGTTCCGCAGGCGATGCTGGGGGCTCTGCACCCTGTGCCGAAATTTAAAGTTGCCCAGGGGTGCCCAGAGCCAATCAGCTCCAGCCCAGGGCCATTTGTCAAGGTCCGCGGGTGACGGGGGGGAGTAATTTCCATCTAAAAATGTGCCTGTGGTGGCAGGCAGCTATCAAATGTTCCACCTGGCCGCACAAACAGAAAGCATGATGTATAAATATCTGCCCCAGGGCCACAATTGCCTGATAATTAGTGCGGCACCCAGCCAGTACTGCTGCCGTGGGGACAGGGCCATGGGAATGCCGGGGCTGACGTGGGGACCAGGCCCTGACGTTGGCAGCCACCCGAGGGCCTTATTGGTGCATTTGTGGTTGCGGGTCTGGGCAGGGTGCAATGTAGTGAGGTTATTGCCTGAGTATTGCCTTGCCTCTGCCATTGGATGCTCCATTTATCCCACTGTGCCCCAAACCATTTGTTTGGAGGGGACCACGTTGAGGTGCTTTCCGCTGGCTGATAGAAGGCAATGTGCAAAGTCCACACCCCAAACAACCAAAACCCCATGGCTTGCAGGGATCCCCAAGGCGCACACAACATATGGTCAGAAGCAAACCAAGCCTTGTGCACGAGCTTCACTTGTTGCTTTATTGCGTTTCTGCGATACATGGATGACAATACTCAGGCCAGGGCGGTGCTGTGTGTTCCACCACTCACTCACTGGCTGTAGTAGTAATCCTGCCCATAGACGTCATAGCCATGCCCCTTGTAGTAGCCGTACTCATCCTCATAGGCATGGTAGCTGTCCCCACGTGCTGGCCCCTCCTGGTCCCCATAGCTGCCTTCAGTGGGACCTTCGTCTCCACGGGCTCCCACTGTCACCTCGTACTCCCACTGCTCCCCAGCTGTAGTGGCCTCAGAGTGCGGCTCATCACCCAGTGTGGTCGCCTCATCCTGTGCAGTGGTGGCAGCAGCAGTGGTGGCTTCAGCTTCCTCCTCCTCTTCTTCCTCTTCTTCCTCTTCCTCCTCCTCCTCATCATCCTCCTCCTCTTCAGCCACCGCAGTGCTGTTTCCATGGGGTGCCTCTGCCGTGGTGTTGGTGCTGGTCCCATTGACACTGACATCCTGCTCCTCTACTTCTTCTTCCTCCTCCTCTTCCTCCTCTTCCTCATCACTGTCTTCATCGCCCGAGTCACCCCGTGTGGCCTTCTGGCCCCCTTTGCAGCCCTACGGCACACATGGACAAGGCAATAAATAACCCGGCATCAGCCACACCTCAGGGCTCTGAATTCAGAGAGCTCACCTGATGGGTGGACGCAGCATCACCCCCTAGCCCCACATCACCGGGGGTCAGCCCCTCACCTGCTGCCTGAGTACCTGCGTGGGATGGTGCCTGTGGAGTGAGGAGGAAATATAACAAGGGGCTCACACTTATCCAAAAAGCTGTGGGATGACTCAGATGCAAGTCCCTGAATTTCTGCATGCTGGAGGCCTATACTCACCCCCCCTTCCTCCTCCTCCTCTGAGCCGTCCCCCTCTTCCTCCGAGGAGTCACTGCCCTACGTAAAGGGAGAGTAGAGCCATTGCCATCAGTATCGTGGGCATCACAGCCTCAGCCCAGCGGGGGCTTTTTGGGGCAATATCCCTGCACATGAGGCTGGGGACCCACAGAACCCAATGGACCCACCTTGTAGCGATGCAGCGGCGGGTAGGCGTAGCGGTACAGGTAGTACCGGTGCCGGCTCTTCAGCACCTGCCAGGAGAGGAAGGAAGTCAGCCCCACAGCTCGGGGGGCCGCAATGCTTCAGCACCGTGGTGGCACAACCCTACCGCATTCTCCTCTGAGTCGCCTGCCCGGGCTCTGCGCAGCCAGCTCCTCACTGAGAAGGTGGAGGCGGTGGCCAGCAGGCAAGCAAGCAGCAGCGCCGTCCTCATGGTGCCACTGGGCCAGCACTGATTTCTTGTGGCCGCTGCCCTGCGGGTTATAAGGCAGTCGAGGCCCCCCTCCCCCCGCCACAGCCCGTCGCCGCCCTGCCCTGGCTCTGCCCGCCCAGAAAACCCCCAAATTTTGAAGTGCCCTGCTGCCAGGAGGGATGCACCACAGCACTTAATTGAGGGTCTGGCCAGGGCTGGAGGGTATAATAATGTGTTGGGCCTTGGTTAAAATAAATATTGGGAAATCTGGTTCGGGGGTTGTTTTCTTTTTCTTTTTTTCTTTTTTCTTTTTCTTTTTTTTTAATTTTTATTTTTTTATTTTTTTGCCACCTCCCTTTTTGGGAAATTCTGCCACTGTAAAGCAACCCAAAACGAAAAAAGAGAGTGACCTCACCACAATCCCTTGGGTGAAAGCATTGATGGAGAACAGGCTGAGAATGCAAGCAGAGGAGACTGCCTGGAGGCATCCCTTTCTGCAACATGAAGAAGGGACCACATGGGACAGAGCCCACAGTGAGACCACCACATGGTCCCAACCTCCCATGGGATGATGTGGGCTGGGGACGCGCTGCTTCCCGTCAGTGCAGGTCAGACCACGCTGATTTCTGTCCTCGCCTCCATCCCCACATTGGCTTGGAAGTTTTGGGGAACAGCTCCTGCTGTTCCCACATCTGAGTGGGTCAGAGAAGTCCCTGTGGCCACCCAGAGGTCCAGTGGCCCTGGTGCCCCCAATGACCACCCTGTCCCCGTCCCCAAAGGCGCAGCTGCCCATGGTGTCCCTGCAGTCATAATTACAGGGCTGGCCACAGCTTTCAGCCAACACTGCCTCTGGCCAGGAAAAGCCACAAAAGAAATAAAAATAAAAGGAAATATCTTTAAAAAGCAGTGCGGTTTTCCAATGCCAGCACTGCACTCACTGCTGAAGAGGTGAAAAATGTGGGGCTAGAAGGGCAAAATGGGGATGGGCATCAACAATGGTGATGGAGATGGGGATGGGAACAAGCACAGCTTGCTGAGTTTGGAGTCTAAATTTAATTGGAGAGTGCTGCCAGAGGTGATTTTTAATGTAATTAGAGGGACACTGGTTTAAAAAAAGAACTTTGTCTCTAAAAGCGCTGATTTCACCCAAGATCCCTAAAAAAAGCTGGGGCGTAATGACCGCATACCCAGTGCCTATTTTAGCTGGCAAGGCAGAGCACGGTCTGGCACCAGCCAGCCCCATGTCCCTGTGGTGCCACACGTGGGGCTCGGCCCCACAGAGCGCAACCCAACACCTACAGGCTCCACAATGGGCTCATTAGGGCAGGTGATGACGAACGCAGGGCCCCCCAGGAGAAAGAGGAGAAGGAGGAGGAGGAGAAAGGTGAGGAGGGCACCCTGTGCTCTGCCCCATGGACCCATGTCCCATCCCGGTGCTGCCCGGCACGTTGCAGTGCGTGGTGGGTATTTTTGCAGCATGGTGAGGCGGTGCCATCTCCCTGCAGCTATGCTGGCAGGAAACCTCAGCACCAAAAATAAGCACAGCAAACACAGGCAGGAGTGCACGGTGCTTGGCTAAATGCATCAGGCCTTAGGTATGAGCATTGGACCTGCTCCTTGCATCAATTCAATCTGTGTTTTATGCCATTTCCCACGTTACATGGCAGGAAGACAGGTGAAGGGAATTAACGCTATGTGCAGTGCTGCTGTAGTTCTGGATCCAGCAGCAATATGGAGCTGCAAGGCATGCACAAGGAGCTGAGCATGTCAGGAAAGTGTTTTTACTAGGAGGGGTTTGGAAGTTCATGCACCACAGTGGACTTTGTGTGCTGTAAATAGACTTGGTGTATTGTAGGGGCTATGCTGTGCTGCAGCAGATCCCACAGACACGAGGGACGTGGGTCAGCACCGGCTCTCAGCCGGCAGAAGGCTGGTGCTGGCACAGCTCTGCTCCAGATTCAGCTCTGATACACAGAAACCTGATCCCAGACAAGGAGCCAAAGCAGTGCCTCTCTCCATCTATGCACTGAAACCACTGTTCATGTCCCCTCTGCCCAGCCATGACCCCTCGTCGCAGAGAGAAGCAGCAGCAGAGCTGCAGCACTGGGGTCTGATGGTTTTAATGTGAATCAAGGACATACACAGGATACATTTCAGCATGGAGAGATAAGTGCCATGGACACAAAGAGGTTACAATTGAAGGCTTTCTGTACATTTCTTACAAAATATTACATACACCCCCCCAGCGTGGTATGATGTGCACCGGCATGATGCTGTATGTTGCTCCCAGCAACAAGGGCAAGGAGAGAGTGCTGGGATGCCCCACCTGCAGGTCAGGACTCGGGATTCCCCACAGCCAGCCCCACCACTCACTGCCCACATGGCCAGCCCTCACCCTGTCTGTCTGCAGAAGCAGAGGCTGACCCAACTCCGCCACCACAAACAAATGACACAGCAGTGCCATCAGTACCCATCCTGGCAGTCATCATCGTCGAGCTCGGCAGCCTGCTTCCTGTGGTAGGCTCCCGGCCGCCGCCTGTGGTTCTTTAGGCTGCGCAGTGAGCTGGCATCCCCACGGCTGGTAGCCTCCTGGGAGTGCTCATCATCATCATCATCCTCCTCTGGGGAAGCACTGTTGGTGCTCTCTGTGGATGTGCTCTCTTCACTCACTGTCTTGTCCTCCTCACCCTCACTGTCCTCCTGGCTGCCCTCTGGGGATGAGCTCTGGCTCTCAGTTGATGCACTTGGAGCATCCTCGTCAGGCTTGGAGACATCTTCCTCTGTCTCCAAGCTGTCCTCTTTGGACCTGCTCTGTTCCTCCTCATTGTCAAGGTCAGACATTGCACTTTTGTTCTCTGCGGATGCCCGCTCCTCCCTGCTGCTGCGTCCTTCAGGTGTGCTCACTGCCTCCTCTGAGCCGTCCTCTGCAGACTCCTCATCTGATGCCTCCTGTGATGGGCTGTCCTCATCCTCCTGGGATGGGCTGTCCCCATCCTCTTGGGACGGACTGTCCTCATCTTCCCTGGATGGACTGTCCCCATCCTCTTGGGACGGACTGTCCCCATCCTCCCTGGACCTGCTGGCCTTGCTGTTCTCCTGTGAGTGACTCCTCTCCTCACTATCTTCCACAGAGTTGGTGTCCTCAGTCTCTGGGGAGCGGCTGTCTTTGTCCTCCCAGGGGCTGCCAGAGTTTCCCCGTCCACGATGCCTGCCACCCAGGCTGTCGAAGACTGAGGGGTCGTCACCCTGCATGCCTTCATTGCCCAACCCAATGCTCTCCTCATCATCCTCCTGGCTGCTGCTGCTGCCTCCTCCCCACCTGGAGCCTCCACGGTATCGGATGTGGCGGCGCGGGGCCATCGCACTCTCACTGCTGCTGCTGCTGCTACTGTCACCATGTCCTCCAGTGTCCCCAGTGCCATAAGCAGGCCCTTCACCCTCTTCCTTATCCTCATCAAAGGTGTCATCCCCGCTGTCATCCTCCTCATCCCCAGGCCAGGCAGGCAGCCCGTTGTGCTCAGCAAGGTCTCGCTCCACATGGTTCCCAATGGCCACATCTGCATCACCGGTGTCCCATGGCCCCATGCCAGCACGGAGGCTTCCATGGTCTTCATCACCCAGGAGAGGACCCAGCGCATTTACCACATCCCCTGGTGCTGCATCCTGTGGGCAACACAGCATGTTGGGTGCTCAAGCATCACCGCATCCCTGCTGCTCCCAACCACAGCCCTGCAGCACTTCCCAGCTCACCCCTTGGGCTCGGATGATGGGAGGACAAGGCAGAGGGACAGCCCTTCTTAGCCATGGGCAGGCATGACTTTGGTCTTTAACAACTTGTCATCTCGTACAGATACAAGTATATGGAATCTTTGAGCTCAGGGAAGCCCAGACCACAGCAGTTAGGAGCACAGAAACTCCTATTTTTTTTAGAGTGAGCACAGCATAGCATACCAGGTTAGCAGAGATGGCATGAACTGAAGCCCCTCCAGCTCTAATGGCCCAAAGCAGTGGGCAATGCTCCCAGACCCACAGCACTGCTCCCCATCAACACCCCATAAAGAACACCCTACAGCCATGGGGCACAACACCTTACCTTGGGCTCTTGGAACACGGAGAGATGGCCAGGCACCTATACACAAAGAAAAAACGTTGGGTCAGTCTGGGGCAGAACCAGCATATCTGAGAGAACAGCCAGCTGGATTTGGAGCAGAATCAGCTGGTTTCAGGGCTGTGCTGGGTACTTACGGGGTGGGCGCGGGCTGCAGCCCACAGCAGCAACATCAGCAGCACAACCTTCATCCTGCAGCTGAGGTGTAGAAGCGTGTGGTGCTCGTGCTGCCGTCCCGGCACGGCTGCCTGGCATTTAACTGCTGCCCGGGGCCATGGACAGCCAATGGCACTGGGGCCAGGCACGGAGGTGTCAGCGGGAAACGGCCTCCCACGCTTCCTCCGGCGGGACGCCAGCCCCAAAAACAGCTGCTGGTGGGGGTGGGGGGATAGGGTGTTGAGCAGCCAGCCCGGCCCTGTGTTTTCCTTGCTAAATTTACCCCCTCAGTGCACACTTCCAGGCGTGACGTGCAGGAAATGAGGCACCCACGCTGGACCCCGGCCCTCGGATGTATAGTGTGGGGCAGGGGGATGGAACAGCAATAGGCACACGTCCTTATAGGCGTACAGTGTGTGGATGTACCAGTGGATGGATACATCCAGCAGTCACTCCAGGGTCCCCTGGGGCAAAGGACTGGGACCAGGACCATGCCAATGTCCCTGGAGTGTTACGTGCATTTTCTGTATCACACCATTACACCCCTCCTCCTCCTCCGTCTCACCCTGCAGATGAGGTGGGATGTGTTTTCCTCTTGACCTGTGATCAAATTATACCCCTGGCCCCCGCCAGATGTGAGCATATATCACCAGCCTTATTTTAGGCGCCTTGAACAATTACCACCTGCTGTTGTTTGGCTCTTGGCGTCTGGCCTGCATCTAACTCAACCCCTGAAGACCCAGCGCCAGTAAACGCAAAAACAGGCAATGCAAAGCCAAACCCCTGTGAAACAGAACACAGCTCAAAATTGGACTAAAATGCTCCAAATTCCAGCCATAGACTGCAGCACCCCTGTTCACCATCTTTCTCCAGGATGGAGATACCTGAAAGGCAGCCATGGTTGTCACTGAGCTCTCTCATTGTCATGCTATCCTCCAGCTGAATGCATTGCTGTAGCTGGGCAGAAGCATGGCCACAGCCACATCCTCACACCCTAAATGGGAAGTAAGCAGAAGTGTGCCCACCTGCAGCAGGTGATGGCCCTCTGCTCCCCAAAAAAATGGTGCGAATAGAATCATAGAACCATTAAGGTTGGAGAAGACCTCTTAGATCCTAAGTCCAACCACCAACCCATCTCCACCATGCCCACTGACCATGTCCCTCAGCACCACACCTCCACAGTTCTCAAACACCTCCAGAGAGGCAACTCCACTGCTTCCTTAAACCCTGAATCCTGAGCTTTGAGCGTCAGAGGAACAAAAGAAACATAAATATGATGAATGAAAGGGCAGCTGGAAACGCTGCTCCCAACAATCACCTCTGAGCATCTTGACCACAAGCACCGATCCAACCCTAGTCCCTGGGCTGATGTTCATGTTCGTGCCAGCTGTCTCACATCACCTCTGGGGGCCATGGGGTCCAAGCATGGTGACACTGAGCATTGTGCTTCGCTGGACAGAAATGGTCACCAAAAGGTGCACATTACACTTCTCCAAATGCCTCATTAATGCAAACACACACCTCAACACCAAAGCACATCGTGACATCTGCATCTACTGAGTTTATATAGCTCAGAAATTTTCAGGTTACATCCGTATCTACCTGGTGCTGGCTGAACCACCCTTCCTGTTCTTAGTTTTGTTTGGCTTTTTTTTAATATGTCTTTTTAAGAATTCACTCCACTTTGGCCAATACAGAGCATTAGTTGAGTCAGTCTGGCTGAGGGGCAAAAAATAGCCATCTCTCTGTCTGCACTTTAAAATAGCTCCTCCCCAACGGGAGTCAAATGTTCCCGTGCCAGGGAGGGATGTTTATTTCTCTCCCTCTTTTTTAAACTTTTAATTTCAGCTTGCGTAGGCAATGTGGTCAAACGCGACACAGCCCAGCACTGCGGCTCAGGGGCGACAGACTCAAGTCTCTAATACAGAGAGCACAGCACACCCCGGAGGACCAGCACCCGATTTAGCAGTCACATATAGGCAGCAGAAGCAGTGTCGGAGCCACTTCCCGCTCATCACCTCCATACACTGTGAGTATGTGAGGATGTGAGTCCTGGCTGCTGTTCTTTCTCATCTCCCGCCAGGAAAATCACTTTACAAGCACAGCCAAATTATTCAAAACTGATAATGAAAAAAAGAAAAAAAAAGAAGCAATGCAAAACAGCAAAGAGATAATTGGTTTTGACAAACAGATTTCCCCTTGGGCTGGCTTAGTGCTATGCAAATAGGGCGCAGCTTAGTGCTGCAAGGAGGGATGAGCCCAAGGAATCTGCATGGCCACAGCCAGGAATTCCTACAGTTACTTTAATAGAGAACAAGAAGGGGATGGTAGGATCCTGGGATAAGATGAACCATGCAAGCACCTCTTCTGTATCTTCGTTGTAGAAATGGAGCTGATGAAGTAATGGACTTAAAAACCCTCTTCTTCTTCTTCTTTTTTTTTTTTTTTCATCTTATTCTGCATGTGCTTGTTTTCATTTTCTTTTTAATGAGATGCTACATTTTGTTGACATTCTTCTCCTCACTAAATTCTTAGGAAATAGCTCAGCTAGAAAACACTCATTGTCAGCTCATACATATTTATTGTCACACTCTCACCAAGTGTTCATTTAGTCAGGGCATAGGACAGTGCCATCTCTAATTAAGAAGTGTAAGTTTTAAATTTCAGAAAGCCATACGAACACTTACTCAGACTGTAAGAATTTCAGTCTGAGTTCTAGATGCCCTCAGGAGGCATTTGAGTTTTCATTCCTTGGGGGTAAAATAGACGGATGGAATCAAGTACTCATTTAAGTACAGAGGACAAAATTTAACCCTGTGAGATAATCACGCATATAAACCAGCATTATAAAGTCCCTATAATCACCACTGCAATTATTCTCATAGCTCCATCAGCACTGTCTGGTTGAATATAGACCCAGGCCTCTAGCAAGCCTTGGACATCAGACTCCAAATGCTTTCACACCATTTTTTCCCTTCAGCAAATCTTTAAAAAGAAAAAAAAAAAAAAAAAAAAGCATAAACACATAAGTAGATTATTATGGATACAACCACTGGTGTATCTATACAATTTCTTTACCTGAATTTTAAGGTGTTTATATTATTCCTAATGCAGTGTAAAGCAAATCTGACAGAAAAGTCAGGTCTTTGACTTCCTTTATTTCAGAACCAGAACCGTCACTGAGATTATATTGCACTTGACATAGAGGAAACCTGTGAATCCATCCCTTGCACCTGGTATGCAAATGGTGGCTCAACACCACTCCCTTGTGGGCACAGGTCTGAAGGTCTACGACTTCACTGAGCACACAGATGAGCACAGCTCCAATAACAATAAACCTGTCCTTGCAGTTCCTCCTGCCTGGCAATAAAAAGAAAGACAGTTGTGTTACTAAGACAAGCTTCCCTCAGCTCATCCTCCTCTTACTTTGCTGATCTTCATTCACCCTGCATTCACTCCCAAGTCTACAGACATCAGAAAGCATCCTTCCACTGACACGGCTCTTGGGCACACAGGCAACAAGCACAGCCCTGAAATGCAAACTGAAGCAAGCCAAGGCAGAGATGCAAAGTATGGAGACCGCTGGCATAACGTAGGTATGCAATGAGGTCTTGACCTTCTACTGCCAAACCACCGTAAATACTGCCACACACCTCGCCAGCTGTCACCTCCTCATCACACACACTAGCATCCAATCCATTGTCCCACGTCAAATACAGGTGGGGATAAGATATAATTATTCCGTTTCCAAGTGATATCATCTACGAGTCACAACAGTAATTTTGAGGTTGCAGTCTTCCAGGGAAGCAGCCACTTGGCTTCTTTCCCCCCTTATGACTTAACCATCATAGCACAGCACCTCTTATTGGGGCTGGAACCAACCATCCACAAACAAAAGCATTCCCTACAATGACCCTCCTGGCACAGTGGGGCTTGCTGCACACATTCCCAGTAAAACCAGTCAGATATTGCAAAGAAAGATGTTCATGGCATACCACAAAGCTTTGAATAAATAAGAAGGATCATCTTTTTTTCAAATGCACAACAAAAGGAAAAAACATAAACTCTGAAAGCTCACTTCTCCCTTCAGACGCTGACTAGCTGACAGGACAGCAGAATTTCAACTCCAATAGGCATCAATCAGTTTCCAGGCAGAGAAGCAGAGATAAAAGAGAAAGGGATTTATAGAGTTTCTCTTGATATTTTGTCAAAGTTTTATTTTCTGCATGGACTACAGAAAGAGGGCTTGGCAGTGATATTTTCACTTGTTTTGATTTATTACCAATAAGCTCCATAGTTGGCCATATAGAAGTTAAGTTTTTGTCTACTGTAGGAGTGGATCCAGCTGCATCTAGGTCCTTACCTTTGTGGTTCAGGGGTTAAGAGAGCAATGAAGTCCTCTCCACACCTCATGACACAAAGGTAAGGCCTCCTGGACAAAGGTGTTGAATCTTACCCTCTGTGCAGTAAATAATCAAGTGCATCCAGCCATCTCCAAACTTGTTAGACCACCATGTTGTATTATACCAATAAACATACTCCTGCTTCTCTTGCAAGTGAGGTGCACAGTATAGTTGTTTCCACCCACAACAGAACAACTCGCAGATTTTCACACATATACCAGCTCCCTCTGCTAGCACCATCACTATCCGAGAGATGGCACAGCCATGGCAACAGCACTAACACAAGTAACTCAAGAATTATGCAAGACTCCAAGATTTCAACTGTTTTTTCTTGTTTTTTTTTTTTTTTTTTTGCTTTTCTCTCTTTTTCTTTCCTTCTCTCCACAGACCTGCATGCACATCGCACATTATATTGAAACAGCACTGCAAAACTTAGCAAGGACCAGCATGCTCCTTGCTTTACTTGCTGGCAGCCTGGCAACATGACTGCCCCAGCTGATCTCTTGTTCAGCTCTTCTGGGGCCAACCAGAGTGACAGAAACTATTGCACCCATTCCCTTTGGCACCCCTCCCCCTGAAAGGCTAAATATGCCCTTCCCACACTATGGCTGAGCCCCACTGGCCCAGTGCCT